GTAGAGAAATATATTTTAGTGAACTGTAACCACAGATCACAGATTACTCCCAATGAGCTGATCTGTCTTTGGGTTTCCCCCTTTCCCTGACTCAGGCCTTTTCCCCAGAGGGTGGGAATGGGCCTATGGACACAGAATGGGGAGCGCCTTTGCATTTTGCACAAAGCACAAGTCTGGACAGCCTTTACTCTGGCCAGCACCACTTCTAAGAGCTTTAAACTGGAGGACCTATCCTGGGCCAATTTTCCTTTTTCTTTCTTTCTTTCTTTCCTTCCCCACCCCCCTGGGCCGGGGGGGGGTGGGGGGGGGCGGAAATCAACTATGCAATTGTATACACTCCTGGGTAACTATGAAGAAGGGGAATAAGTGTACTTAAGTGTTCAGAGTGTTAATTGGGGCTGTTTTCCTGTATGTGGATTTCTCTTTTGAGGTATGTACTCCTAACCCATCTCATGGAATGTCATCCCCACATTTGCTCTAAACTGGATGTGGGCTGGTTGTGTTTGTGTGTGTGTGTGTGTTGGGGACATTTGTAATTGCCATATGTTGCTTCTGCCCAATCAGGAAAGTTGTCATCCCATTTCCCCCTTGGTCAAGACTATCCTCTTCATTGGAACTGCTCACCCTATCAAGACTTGATGTCAAGACTATCTTCTTCATTGGAACTGCTCAGAGTTTAGAAAGGTTCTTCTCTCCTCAGCAGACTCCAAAGTCACTCATTTTTCAAATCTGATAGTCTGTTGATTTAATCATTTCCTATGGCTATTAATTCTTGGGCTTTTATCTGAAAATAGAATGGTTTTCAGTAATCACTGAGGTTAAAGGAAATCGGTTCCAAAGGAGGGGATATACATATTTCTGGACAGGGCTGGGACAAGTACAAGATGAGTACTTCTCTCAGGTACAGAACTTTAAGGGGTACTGAAATCTCAGTGATTAAGATAAATACTGTTTTAATGCAGTATTTAAAATACAATGCAAAAAAACTGCATGATGAATAAAATATCAAAATCTTAAGAATCAAATGGGACTGAGATTAGGGTGGGGGAAATAAGCTGAACTGACCAAGTGTGGGGTTGAATCCTGTCCTTACAATTTTGATAGCTAGTTCGTTGTGGATGTTTTACATTGGTTTTGATGTTCAAAAAATACTGCGTTAAAATGGTATATTGGTTATTGAGTTTTGGGGCACCACTTAAATTTTGTGCCCGAAGTGAGTGCCTTGCTCACCTCACTCTGGGGCTAGAACAACACTGGTGAGACCATCACCTCTGAGCCTCCATCCCCATCCCCTACGTGCACCCAAACAATAGGGGGCCCCAGCTCGCACCTGGCACAGCTCACTGAGCTTTCCCATCGGCGCCTGTCTCCTGCACAGGATTCTGGCCTGGACCAAGAGGAATGGGAACAAACCAGGGGTTTTCCCAGAGAGTAAAACCAGGAAAGTTCTAATTCTCCTTTGGACTGCTGTGTTTGGACTTGATTTGTTACTAGATTCTAGTTAATAGTTTTGTTTTTAAAAACTGAGGACAGATGAACAAAAACAGAAAACTTGTGTCATGTTTGTTTTTGTTTTGATTTCTAAACTAAGCAATCCCAGTTTATTTGACCTCTTTTCAAATAAAAGTAGAAATTCTGGGGGGTTGTCTAGGGGTGAGTATGATAGAATAGGGCTTTTTTTAGGCCCTATAGCTTTTTATTCAGAATTAAATTATTTTTGTTTAATTTGGGAAGGTAACTATATATTGAAGCATTAAAAAAAAAAAAAATTCTCCATTCTAAGGATGAGGGGCCCTGAGTCAATGGATGTTTTTCTGTAGGGATGAGTAAAGACTGTTTTGCTTTATTCTTTGAGGGGTTGTGTGGGATGGAGGGTGAAGGAATAATGCCTGGGAAATGAAAACAGACTCTGGTTGGTTTGTGGTATTTTGGGAAGATGAGGGGGTGGGAGAGGCAAGCCCATGCAATTACTGTGCTGGGGAGAGGGAAGATGAGGGGTACATGATGTGCACCCAAAATGAGCAAGAATTCCTTGGTTAAGGAGGGGTATTTGGATGAAGGGGAAGGCAGATCCTGTAATCCTGGCTGAGGGATGGGATCTCTTGGTCTTAAATAAGTGCACTTAGTTCCTTTAATCCAGGGCATTGGGGTACCTACCGAGGTTTTTATTGGAGAGGGGAAATATTTGGGGTTCTTATTTTTCCCCTTTTAAGACAGTGCTGTCCTTCCACCCTACATTCTCCACCCCAGCCCTGATGGAGCAGGTATTCTATAGGATAGGTCTCCAGTTTCCTACCTTAATCTGTGTTCGTTTTATTGGGAGTTACAAGGTTTAATAAAAAGTTTTTCCCCCATACTGGATTCTATCTACAAAATAAAAAGATTATATCAAAACTTTTTTTTTTTTTTTAAGATTCAGTCTCTGTATGGAGTGGGGATGGTGTGAAATTTGGTGCTGTACAGGGCCTAGAGGGAAGCACTCTTTGGCTCAGTTTCTTCTCAAGAGAGACTAAAGCTCCCAGACCAATAAAATAAAAGTTAGCAATGCCTTCGTATTGTGTATTTGGGAAGTGATAACAGAAGTAGAAGAAATGGAGCTGGTTCCGAATGGTCTCCTTTCTAAACAGCCACACATCCAGGATTCCAGCCACATTTGTCTTTCCCATGAAGGCACTTTGGAGAGGACGGTCTCTGAGTTACTCAGACACCAGTGACTCTAGACTCTGGGTCATCTTTCTCCAGTCAGTGCCCTAGACACAGATGGGATGACGGCATTGGAAGCCCTTCCCGGCCTGGAATCACCTGCACCCCAGATTTTTCTAATTTCTTTTTCCCCTCCAGGCCCTTCAACTGCAGATTCAGTGAGTCACACAGGCACTCCTGTCTCTTTCACTTTGTCAAATACCCAGCCTGCAAATCTCAGGGTGTTTTGGCCCTGTACTTAAGTAGCTTAACAAAATACTATGACGTCTTCATGGAGACTTTCTCCATGCCACCGCCCTTCACTGGCTACGTGGGTTAGGGGCGGTAGGAAAGAGGAATGGAAGCTGGCTGACGGTAATCAGAGCGAGGTAGGGGTGGGGAGGACGATGGCCTCTTTCTGTGCTTATAACTGGATCTGTGACTCATCTAGTGAGTCACTCAGCTCCGCCCCCCCCCCCTCCAGCTGCCCCTCCCAGCAGCCTTCACTCTTGGCACAGACCTGCAACCAGACCAGGATCCTGAAAATGGAAAAATCTGATATGGCCCCATGCTTCTGCATCCTTCCTTCCATCCACTTAAAACCTCTGCTGGTGTGGGGGATACGGAGAGGCGGTCCTCCCATTAGCCCTCAGCTGCTTCCCCTTTTCATCCCCCTGCTCATCCAAGTCACCAACTTTTTTCTGGCTTCCACCCCCCCATTCCCCTGATTTTTTTTTTTTTCCCCTCTAGATTCCTCTGCTGCTGCTATACCTCAAAATATGAAGAATAGAATGAGGCTCTTGAAGGGTGGTGGGGAGGAGGAAAATGGGGAATGGGATTTTAAAATTGTGGAACACAGCTCTTCCTATGGCAAGAGACCTTGGGAAGTATTTCTTCCCTTAAGAGATTGAGGACCATGGAAAGTAGGTGGGGTTGGGGGTGCTTGGGAGCTTTTAGGACTTCTAGAATAAGGCTTCTGGGCCACCTTCCTAGCAGGTGTATGCCTCTGTTCCGAGTTAACTTCCTGTGTCCCAATATCTTCACTATTTCCACAGTAGCAGCCAAGACCGGGAACTTTTACAGCTGAGGCCGGAAGGGTGTGTGCTAAGGGGAGAGTTGAGTGTCACTTTGGAAAACTGGGGCCCCCACCTAAGGTCTGCTGCCTCTGTACAGACTCAAACATCAATAAAACAGCAGCTTGTTAACCCTTATTTTGTATTGCATTTCCTGTCTTTTTCTGCATCTAAATGCAAACTTTAGCCTTCTACCCAGGCGCCATTAACTGCAGTTCCTTTATTTCCCTCCTAGGGTCCTCCCCACCCACCTCTGCTCCTCTGGTTGCAGGAGGATGGGGCTGTTGAACTGATAGAGGTTTTCAGCCCTCAGTTTTGCAGGTCCAGAACATGAATCATTAATTTGGAGATCTGATGTCTGGGTTGGAGGGAGGGATCATGTACCTGGAGTGGGCTCTGGTTTCCCACACGGGGTGTGTGTGTGTGTGTGTGTGTGTGTGTGTGTGTGTGTGTGTGTGTTTTGGAGTAAGATCTCTTTCTTGGGCCTCCCTCTACTCCCAGAACTTGCACATACCCTCCTGTACTTGTCTGTGACCAAGAGATATTTCCATTTCTCTCCCCAGTGTTCTCAGGGCACCCTCCACACGAGGTATGTTTCATGCTCCCCGGAGAACCATATACAACATGCTTTAACTCTTCTCCCTCATTTCTTGGGCCTCCCCAGGCAAAAAATCCCCTGAGTCCCAATTCCCTACTACTTCTAACAGGTGTGTCAGGGGAGGCAGCAAGGAAGCCTGAACTGCTTTTGCATTCCTCCCACTGCACCACCCCCTTCAAGAAGACAAAAAAAAAGGAGCCCAAATTACTCCGGGTTAATACTCGGTATTACTGCTCCCCTCAAATACTTTCCAGTGCTTGTGAACAGAAAGAGCATAGGATCTAGGGTTGGGGAAAGAATCTGGGTTTTTTCCCCCCAGTTATCCATTTTTTCCTCACCTTTTCCAGGCTCCTCCACTTTTCCAAAACTGTGTGTATTCCCCTTTAAGGGGCTGGGCATCTCTCCCGCCCTCTCCAGAGTCGACTGAAGTTTCCGAGGAGCCTCCTCTAGCTGGGTTGGACACACCTTTCAAAAGACCCCTAATCGTGCTCCGTGTACCTCAAACGCTCCTTTCCCTGGGGCTGTCCCCTGCCCCTCTCCCTGACTTCCCTCTTCTCAACTACAAGATTCAGCCTACCCCTAAGGGGTTTGAGCATCTTCAAGGTCTCCCACCCTTCACTGCTCCGTCCCCGGATGGAGCCAGAGAAATGTGGTGGGGGGGTCGGGGCCAGAGTTTCAACATCGCCCCCCAGAAGGCGGAGCCAGACATGGGGGTAAGGAGGGGAGACTTGGGTTTGGGAGGGAAGGGCACCATGGGCAGGACGGTGTGAATGAGGAGGATATGGAGATAAAAGAGGAGCTAGGAAAGGAGCTAGAAGAGGAGGAGGGTGTGTCCCATATCAACTTTGCTTGACGGATCTTGGTCTTTTTCACAGTCTCAAGTTCATTGTCTCATTATCCATTAACCAGCCCCTCCCTTTACTGTCTGCCAACTGGGTCCTAAACTCCTCACAACCGCTGATCTCAGTTTCCCCTGAGTCTGAGTGTAGGCCTCCAACCGTGGCTGCTGAGGTAATCCCGGATCCCGGGATTGGAGAGGCCTGGGGATTAACCCTACACCCTTCACAGCGATCTGGACCAAAATCTGTCCAGAGGACTGGGATGCTGGAGTCCAGGAGTTGTCAGCTTGGCCATCAGCTGGCCACGGGATGCCTCCCAGGTAATAACTTCCTTTCCAATACTTCCAATCTCCAAAGACTCTTCCAGATTTCATCCTGCTCAAACTTTGCTTCAAACCTCACCAAAGATACCTCTGTATTCCTCTACTTGCTCAAAGTGCTTCTGGCTGAGGCTTGCTCTCTTCTCTGTCAGAGTTGGCTAGGAGTGTGGACCTTAATGGTCCTCTGTTACTCCCTTTCCTCATTTATTTATTTAAGAGTTATTTGAGTTCCCTACTCTGTGCCAGGCACTGCTCTAAGCTCTAGAGTAAAAGAATACAAATGACCTCCTCCTAAGCTTTTGTTCTAGTGGAGTTAGGGGAGGATCTTAATCTTCCTTCTTTACAGCCTTCTGTCTCAGAGGAATAGGTGTATACCAGTGTGGGTGACACTGGGAATAGTCATAACCTGACTTCCCCCCTTCCCATGTAGGGGAGCAGATCCTAGCATGGGCCCCAGGGGTAAGAAAGGGGCTGGAACCTGAATTGCCTGGAACCCTGATCTGCACCAACTTGAGGGTCACCTTCCAGCCCTGTGGATGGCAACGGAGTCAGGTGAGATGGTTAGGCCAGTGGAAAGCACAGTTAGTGAGAAATGGATTGGTGAGTCTAGGAGGATTTAGATAAGTGAGACAGGGAGACTTATGTTTAAGGGGTTGTCTCTAGGGAGGTTAGGGATTGCCAAGGTAGGATAATGAGCAAGATTTCAGATGTCTTTAGCATCAGTCATGTGCTTCCTCTAGGAGACTCCCCTGAGCAGTGAATATGATTTTGTCCTGGTCAACATTGGGCGATTAGAGGCTGGTGAGTGGGGGGATGTGGGGTGTGAGGTGTTGGTGAAGGGGCTTACTGGGGGCTCACCCTTCCTCATCCTTCCTCTATTCTCAGAGGGCAGCAGGGATGGAGTGGGATGGGCTGGAAGACTTCCTTGTAGAGGGACCCTGATCCATGGCTACACTGCTTTCTAACTCTTGATTTCAGTGAGTGGATTGTCCAGAGTCCAGCTCCTCCGTCCAGGGTCCCCACTTAAATTTATCCCTGAGGAGATTCTCATTCATGGCCGAGACTTCCGGCTGCTCAGAGTTGCTTTTGAGGCTGGAGGACTAGAGCCTCAGGCCTTTCAGGTAAGAAGCCTTCAACCCAAAGACTCCTCCTCCCCTTAGAACCTTGGGATCCTTTCCTTGGCATTCCTATTACTCCCCTATCTCCTAGGACCCCTCTCATCATTCTATCTGCTTCTCTCCTCAAGGAGAGGCTAAAAGGCTAGGATAGAGGATACTGTAATGAGAGTAAGGGGCCTGAATTCTAGCCTAGCACTGCCAATTAGGAGGATTATGACAGCTTCTTCCTTTGAAAAACAGGATCAGATTGTTTCAGAAATTCCTCCCAGAATTGACATTCCATGATTCTGAGGTTCTGGATGTGTTCTCCTAAACCTAGTCCCCACCACTTGTGGAAGCTCCCTTCCTTGGGACGGTATTCTCTCTTCCCTATTGGTGGCAAAGACAGTTGAGCAACACATGGGACCAATGTCCTCCTCTTCACTTCTTCAGTCTGAGCCAAAAGGCTGGGATGCCCTTTCCTCCACAGGTGACCATGGCCATTGTCCGAGCCAGAGCTCAGAGCAGTCAAGCCCAACAGTATGCAGGGATATCCCTGAGCAAGGCTGGTGAGTGAAGGTGCTTTAGGGTAGGGAAAGGGTAAAAAATCGGGAAGAGCAGAGGCTGGCTGAGGACAGTAGAGCTGAGAAGCTCTCTCTGGTTCCTTTTCCCTCTTTTCTGTGCTTTACTCCTTCCCTAGGCCAGAGTTCAGGGTCCAGAAAACCACCTATACCCCTCTTGGAGACATCAGAAGACTGGGAGACTGAGCGGAAAAAGCAGGGGGCCAAGGGCTGGAGAGTCAGCACTGTTAATGAGAGGTTCGACGTAGCCACCAGGTGATCCCCCAGTCTACCCCAACTGCTGCTGCCCTCCCAATCTTCCCACAGTTCTCAGATCCTCTAAAGCTAGGACTGCCCACAAACCCTAGCCTCTTACGAGACCCATAAAGCTATCCTTCTTACTGCCTAGATCTCTAAACCTGGGGTCCCTTGAAATAATTCCCTCCTGAGCAACTTCCTTGTAATGACAGGTCTGCATTATAATGAGCTCATTGAGCCAAGCTGTGACTATAACTCTCAATTCCATAGCCTCCCCCGTTACTTCTGGGTCCCGAAGCGAACTCTGGACAGTGAGGTCAGGAGAACATTTGGCCACTTCCATCAGGGCCGTGGACCGGTCAGTGTGGGGACCAGGGTGATGGTTGGGGATTAGATGGTTATGGGAGGTCAGAGGGGGTCGTTGTAGAGGGAGGTCAGGATGGGTGCGGGATAGGGTGGGGCTAAGAGTTTCTTCCATGGTGATCCTAACCTCCCACCATCTGCAGCGCCTGTCCTGGCATCACCCTGGGGGCAGTGATCTTCTCCGCTGTGGTGGCTTCTATACAGCCAGCGACCCTAACAAAGAGGATATCAGGTGAGGGGAGGTTTGATGAGCAGAAGCAAGCGTTGGAGGTTTTGGACACACTTGTTCCTTTACCTTGTGACTTCTTCCTCTCCAGAGCAGTGGAGTCAATGCTCCAGGCTGGGCATTCAGATGTTGTGCTGGTGGACGCTGTGGATGAACTGCCTAGTCTTACAGATGTTCAGCTTGCCCACTTGAAGCTGAGGGCCCTCTGCCTGCCTGGTGAGATGACCTCTGACCCCTACCCCCACCCCTAGGTCTGCTCACCCTAACCTGGTTTACCCTTTTGCCTGTCACAGTATGAGTAACCCTTCAGGCCAAAGATCCACAGTTTTCTATTCAACTCCCATCTCCCACAGACTCACTGATTTCTTGTCTTCCTATCCCTAGTGTATTTTTTTAACAGCTTTATTGAGATACAATTTACATACCATAAAATCCAGCCTTCACCCATCTTAAGTGTTCAGTGAATTTTATTACATTTACGTGGTTGTACAACTGTCCCCACAATTTAATTGTAGTAGCCTTATGACCATTTACAGTTACTGTTTATTTCTATCCCCAGTCCTGAGTAACCCTTACCCAACTTATTCTTAAAGGCTGCAGACCCTGAATCATAAATTCTGAGTTCTCCAGATCTCTTTGTCCTTCTGACCCCTCTCCTCTCTCTCAGACTCATCTGCAGCTGAGGAGAAATGGCTCTCGGCCTTGGAAGGAACACGATGGCTGGATTACGTCAGGTACACCTGCATTTTCCAGCCACAATTTATATAATTCAACCTACCCCAACTTTCTGTTAACTTGAATTCCCAAATGGCCTTCCATTAGCTTTTTTGATTTCCCAAGAAGACTCTTATATGCTGCTCCTTAGAAGAATGGGCAGAATTTTGGAGTCTGCCTCTTTTCCATCCCATGACCTATCACTCCTTTCTTCCAGGCTTACCATTCTTCCCTCCTCTTCCTCATCTGCCCCCTCAGGTCTTGTCTTCGAAAGGCCAGTGACATCTCAGTCTTAGTGACATCCAGGGTTCGCTCTGTAATACTCCAAGGTGAGTTTCTTGGGTTAACCTATTCCATGCCTTCCTTTTTCCTTTACCCACCCAACTGGGAGGAAGATCTTTAAGTCTTCCTTGTCCCCAGCTAGCACTACAATTCTCCTCTTCTGTCATTAGGAACTACCTATGGGCCTTAACTCATCCTTCAGTGCTACCCTGCCTCCCAGTAGCAGTAGTATTACTACTAGCTGTAGTGTTACTACAGCTTGTGGTCCCTAATAGCAGGGTTCTTTGCCTACTGTTCCTGTCCTTCCATCAGTAGATGGTGACTGGGTTGGGGTGGGAAGGACAATGAGGAGGCTGGTTTGAGATTTATGATTCTGCCTCCTACACTGAAGCTGGGTATTGCTATCTAGGTGGAGTCTATGAACTGAATCATTCAAGGTCTTTATTTTCTCTTCACTTCTATTTGCCCTCTCAATCCTCCCTAACCCACACTTTTCTCCTCTGTGTCCCTCTCTTCTTCTTGCCACGTTTCCTTTTCTCATGTTCTTCTGCCCTAGTTTCTTGGCCCCTCCTTCTTTGTCTTCTCCCTCTTTGTCACCCAGAGCGCAGTGATCGTGATTTCAATGGCCTCCTCTCTTCACTCGTCCAGCTGCTTTCAGCCCCTGGAGCCCGAACACTGCTTGGCTTCCAATCACTAGTGCAGCGAGAGTGGGTGGCAGCTGGACATCCCTTCCTGACCCGACTTGGAGTAACTGGAGCCAGTGAAGAGGTAAGATCATTTGGGGAGGGTACTGGGGGGAGATTATTACTAAAGGTGTAAGGGAATGAGAAAACTATATAGTATAATCCACTGGAAGTAAAATTGGGTTAGAAAGATCCTGAGATTAGGTTGAGCTTGAAGGGAGACCTAGATGAATGAGGCACCACAACCCTCTACTACCCTCAATCTAGGTTTCCATTCCCTGACCTTAGTGGCCCTGTTGGCTGTGTCCCTTGTCCCCCATCATTTTGTCATCCTCCCCCTTTAGGTGTCATCCTCCCCCTACAATCCCTTCTAACCTCTCACTTTCCCTCTTCTCAGGCTCCAGTGTTTCTTCTCTTCCTTGATTGTGTCTGGCAGCTCCTCCAGCAGTTTCCAGCTGAGTTTGAATTCTCAGAGTTTTTCCTTCTTGCTCTTCACGACAGTGCCAGAGTTCCTGACACTCTCACATTCTTGAGAAATACTCCCTGGGAGCGCAGAAAACAGAGCGGACAGGTCAGTCAGTGACTTCCATTTTTGAGCTGTCTTTTCTTCTTCTTGAGAAATACCCTCTGTTTAGTCTTGATTTATGGAAAGTGAAATCTGGGGGGAGGGGGGCGGAGTTGGTGCTCATTCTTCATGACTTGACTTTCACCTCACATCTGATTTCCCAGAGGAAGAGGAGAGCTTTTTATGATTTCTCTCCAGACTTGGGAAAAGGATTACTTTTTGCTTAACCATCCGTTTTCTTGTTTTCTCTGTCCAGTTCAACTCCTATACACAAATCTGTACCCCAGGGTACTCCCAACCCCTTGCTGGGAACTCGGTTAACCCACAGCTGTCCGTCTGGGACTGGGATTTACGTTACAGCAGTGAACAGATACTACAGTTCCATAATCCTGGCTATGACCCAGAATACTGCCCAGATTCCTGGCTCCCTAGACAGCAGGTGAGGTGTCTACACTTCCTAAGTTCCCTTGACTTTCTCACAGACTCGTCCTACTAGGTAGGGAGAAGTGGAAAGACATGGTGTCTGAGTTCCCCAGGAAAAGCTTCCCTACACTTCTGTAGCTGTCAGAGTCCCTGACTGTCCCCAGGTAGGCAGAAATCCTAGAATAGCACAAAGGGGGTCCTTCTTGTCCTCATCTTTTTCTATCTCTGACACACATTTTTTTAAAAGATTTATTTATTTTAGAGAGAAAGCATGTGAATGCCAGCGGTGGTGGGGTTGGGGAGAGGGTAGAGGGAGAGAGAATCTCAAGTAGACTCCCCATTGAGCACCTGCAGAACGCGATGTGGGTCTGGATTTCACAACCCTGAGATCATGACCTGTGCTGAAATCAAGAGTTGGATGCTTAACTGACTGAGCCACCCAGTAACCCCTTTCTTACACACATTTTATAAGTTTCCCTTAAGTTGACTTTAATCAGACCTGAGGCCTAGTTTGAGGCCTATGAGGAGAGTAGATAAAGAGTTCTCAGGGGGGTGTCTGGTAGGTTGATCACTAATGCGGTGTGAGCAGGCGGCAGCTAGATATTCCTTCCTGACCCAGTTTGGTGGAAGTGGGGTCATCTGGTTTCTAGGTTGCCAGTTGATTTCTCTTTTCCCTTTAGCCAAGCTTCCTGGTTCCTGGACCCCCCAGTTCTGTGTGGCTCTTCTCCAGAGGGGCCCTGACCCCCATGAATCAGCTCTGTCCTTGGCGGGACAGCCCCTCCCTACTGGGTGTCTCTTCTCGTTGGCTCCCTCGACCTGCTATCTCCTCTGAAAGCCTGGCTGATCAGGAGTGGGGGCTCCCCTCACACTGGGGAGCTTGCCCTTTACCCCGGGGGTTGCTGCTGCCTGGATATCTGGGACCCCAGATCAGGCTGTGGAGACGCTGCTACCTGAGGGGAAGGCCTGAGATCCAGGTGAGGAGGGAAGACAGGGATAGGGATTAGGAGTGGGAGAAGGGGCTTGACTGCTAAACCAAATGTTCTGGGAGAAACCAGGTGTGTCCAGGAGCTGGAAAACCAAGGGACTTGGGAGGACTGAGGTTGAAGTACCATTCTTGTTGGTATCAGAGTAGATAGGTTTGGGATTATGTGTGTATGTATGGGAAAGACTGCTTGTGGTTCAGATCAAATAGAACCTAGGGCATAGTTGGAGGGGGAAAGAGAATTAAAGATGCCAGAGGTCATGCGAACTAGACTTATCACAGGGATCACTTTGTAATATATAAAAAGATCAACTTTTTGTATAAAAATTGCATAAAAATACAATTTTATAAAAGTATAATTTTACAAAATTTTACAAAAGTATGAAGAAATCACTATGATGTGCACCTGAAACAGGATACTGTATGTCAATTGTAATAGTAATAATAATAATAATAATAATAAAAAGATGGCAGAAGTAATGGACAGCTCTCATAGAAACAGGCAACTAAAGCTATAATAATATTCCTCTCTGCCTCTCTTCACCCCAGAAAGGCCTCTCAGCTCCCACAATCTCTGGCCTCCAGGATGAACTATCCCATCTTCAGGAACTTTTAAGGAAATGGACACCAAGAGTATCTCCTGAGGATCATTCCAAGAAAAGAGATTCACATACCATTCTCTCCCAATCCCGTTGAAATTGCTGTCTTTTGTATGGGTCTGGCGAAGGATGGTCTGGGGTGAGGGAGGGTTCTTTTTAATTCTCCAATTTTTATTATCTGGTCTTGCTGTCTCAGCTTTTGACACTCCAGCCCTCAACAAGCTCACTGATCAACTTTCCATTGTAGATGGGTGGTGCTAACCTCCCAACTCTTGCCCTGTCCTGTTTTGTTGCTCAAGAGGTTTCTTAGGATTTGAGGAATTAAGAAACAAAAGCAATCCTGAATACGATTAACTTTGTTTTTTTCAAGGCAATTCTATCCCTTTGGATATCCAGCTGTTAAATGTGAGATGAGAGATGCTGTTTGTCAGTTCTAAAAAGATGGCCTATAGAACTCATTCTCACTTCCTCCTGCTGCTTAATCCCAGTTTGTTTCTTCCCTTTCTTTCCTATGGGTATCGAGTGTATGGGAGGCACCCTGTCTCTGACAACTGTATATTTTGTAGTGACATTTCTATTTAAGGAGTTCATTAAAGCACAGTTATTTATACATGTTGCTGGCATTATCTCTTGTGTCTGAATAAAAGATCCTAGGTAAGAAACTGCTGGGTATAAACCAGGAGAGGATGCGACCCACCAGATTATTCTTAAGGAAATACGGGGATAGGCCAGGCGAAGTCCACATGCATCTTTTTAGATCAGCAAAGAGCATACCGTCTGAGACGTTGGTTGCTGGGCTCGGGGTGTTCTGGCGGTTGAAACTGAGGCCTCTGGGCTCCAATATCAACCACCCCTCGGCTTTTATCACACTTCCTCTGAGTCTCAGATTTCCATCACTCCTCATGCAATAGGACTAGGTGACTTGCACATGAACCCAGCTCAGACGTTCCGCAATCCTCTCCCCTGGGGAAAAACGAAACGCCTCATGCCCAGGGTCTGTTGAGGCCGCCGCTTCCTACAGACTGCGGGCCAGAGTGGAGGGCTGCCTCCATGTCCTAAGGTAGCCGAATCCTTGAGATGGGGGAAGGGGAGGTTTCCAGAACACCCCCTTCTCCGGGGAACAGAAAGAAGGCTCTTTTGCCAACACAGTATTTTTAAAAAAGTAAAGTTCCGTTGTTTTAGCTGTCGAATTTACATTTTTGGGAGAACAATGGTCCTTTAACGTCTGGCATTGCCTTAAGAGGGTCTGGGCATTTCCAGTCCGCCTTCCTCGCTCTAATCCGCCGCAGCAGTGACTCTGAACAAAACCAGGGACAAGAAGAGCCTGGCGCACAAATCGCGTAGTCCCCGCGCTTCCTAAGATGGCCGCAGCCGCTTCCGGCTCCTCCTCCGTTACGGCCCCGCCCGCCGCCCTCAAGACCGCCTTCGTCCCGGAAGTGGAAGTAGTGACTAAGGTCAGGGGGTGGGATCGCTGCCTGGAGACGGAGGGAGCTCTTTCGCCATGGCGGCCGGGCCGATCTCCGAGCGGAACCAGGGTGATTGGAGGGGACCAGCCGGGAATGGGCCCAGGGGAGCTGGGAGGCCTCGACTAGGGCCAGCAGTGTTTCCGCCGGGATTGGGAGATCGGATACCCCCGGAGGGCGGGAGACCGGCCCTCGTGCCTTCCGGGGGCGGGGAGCCGGGTGCAGACTGAGGCCTGTAGGTGTGATGCTCTATCCAATCCTTTCTACCTTCCCTTTAAAAAAACAAAAACAAACGAGCAAACAAAAACCAGAAACAAAGCAATTCACAGAGAATTTGCAGCAGAACCTTCAGGTGGACTTAAGGTTCTCTAGTTCTAGAATGAGGGAGGTGTAAGGGCTTAATCTTTCTTTTTCTCTTTTTTTCTTTTACACCCCTTGTGCACTCCCAATTCCCCCGCCTGTCACCTCTTTTTTCCTGTCATTATCTTATCCCTTCCCTAATCTGCTCCTGTCTTCTAGATGCCACTGTCTATGTCGGGGGCCTGGACGAGAAGGTTAGCGAACCGCTGCTGTGGGAGCTATTTCTCCAGGCAGGGCCGGTAGTCAACACCCACATGCCAAAGGATAGAGTCACAGGTCAGCACCAAGGTGAGTACATGACAAGAGGAATGTTCACCTGTTGCCAGACAGACTGCCCCTGGAGGGTTCCAGCAGTTTTCATATCTGTTTTGGAATAAATCACCTGCAGATTCTTCTCTTTAAGGGTAGCTCACAGTTTGCTTCTGGGACCATTCCCAGTTGAAGTGAGGTGATTATTTCATGTTCTTTGTGCTTTGGGAGGTGAATGAGTTATACCCCATTTTGAATCACTTCACTTAAGTTGTTAATCTCCACCCTTCTACTTCCCAGGTTATGGCTTTGTGGAATTCTTGAGTGAGGAAGATGCTGACTATGCCATTAAGATCATGAACATGATCAAACTCTATGGGAAACCAATACGGGTGAACAAGGCATCAGCTCACAACAAGAACCTGGACGTGGGGGCCAACATTTTCATTGGCAATCTGGACCCGGAGATTGATGAGAAGCTGCTTTATGATACTTTCAGCGCCTTTGGGGTCATCTTACAAACCCCGAAGATTATGCGGGACCCTGACACAGGCAACTCCAAAGGTTATGCCTTTATTAATTTTGCCTCATTTGATGCTTCTGATGCAGCTATTGAGGCTATGAATGGGCAGTATCTCTGTAACCGCCCTATCACTGTGTCCTATGCCTTCAAGAAGGACTCCAAGGGTGAGCGCCATGGCTCAGCAGCTGAACGACTTCTGGCAGCCCAGAACCCACTCTCCCAGGCTGACCGTCCTCATCAGCTGTTTGCAGATGCACCCCCTCCGCCCTCAGCCCCCAATCCTGTGGTATCATCATTGGGGTCTGGGCTTCCTCCTCCAGGTAAAGCTTTTATTCAGAATATTTTTGTCTTGGGTTTGGGGTGTGGTGAGGGTGGGGCAGGAGGAAGGAAAAAGAACAGATAAAGGGGGACGTGGGGTCAGTAGATGATGAGAAAAGGAGTGAGGGGTGACAGTTGTGGTGGGGAAGAAAGTTGTTCAGAGTTGTCTAGTATTGCTTCTGACTTTTGAGGGCTGGGAGGAAGGGAAAAGAGCTTATCCTGCCTAAAGAGGCTGCATTGAACAGGCTCTCTGAAGACATTCTCTCCTTACTTTCATTAACTCTTCTTCCATTTCCTCTGTAGGCATGCCTCCTCCTGGGTCCTTCCCACCCCCAGTGCCGCCTCCTGGAGCCCTTCCACCTGGGATACCCCCAGCCATGCCGCCACCACCTATGCCTCCTGGGGCTGGAGGGCATGGCCCACCATCAGCAGGAACCCCAGGGGCTGGACATCCTGGACATGGACACTCACATCCTCACCCATTCCCACCGGGTGGGATGCCCCATCCAGGTGGGTGTTCTTTGCTGGGGAAGGGAGGGAGGAGCCTGGTGGAGGAGCTCTATTGCTGCTTATGGTGCTGCCCTTGTTGCTCAGCAATAATAGTAATAGATAGTTCCAGAGCTCTACTTTTCTTCAGACAATAGTTTATAAAAACATACAAAATACTGCTCTCTGTTTACTTTAACAGCTACCACTCTGTCTCCATTTCTTATTTAAACTTATCCAAAGAGTATAACTACTTGCTTTTTTTCCCCTTTAACTTTTACTAATTTCTCTCCTCTGACTTCTACCCCAAAGCAGTAACCTGATTGCCAGATCTAGGGGGTGCTTTCATTCCTTATCTGGTTTGCTGTTTGGTGTACCTGAAACTGGGCACATCATCCTTTTTGAAAATCTTGTTCCTTGGTTTTTCTGCAGTCTTCATTTATGTCTGATTCCTTAATCTTAGCCACCTTAATAGGCTTTTCTCTCTCTCCATCTAGCTAGGTTTTTGTATTTAGTTCTCTTTTCCACATAGGGCCATTACTTGTACACTGATGCCTCCAAGATACGTATCCCTGGTCCTTGACCTTAAGTCAACTACTGCCTGACAGACAGCTCCACTGTTCTACCCTCCCCTTCAAACCTGTTCTTCCTCTAGTACTCTGTTTTCAGATGCTTAATTCAGAAATCTGGAAACTATTTTTAACTACTTCCTATCACCCCACTGTAGATACCAAGTCTTACTAATATTTCTAGCATTGGCTCCCACTGCCAGTGCCCTCGTTCAGGCCCGTACTTATATTATTTCACACCTAATTTATTATAGTAATTTTCTAACGTTTTGCCTCCAGTTTCTCTTATCTTTGGTCCACTTGCACAGAGTTATTTTTCTAAAACACAGACATTTACACACCCTTGCTCAAGATTCTTCTGTTGCTCCCTTTGAACTACACAGAGTAAAACCCACACTTGTCACCATAGCATTCTAGGCTTTTCGTGATCAGTGCCTGCCAGTTACTCCCCTGACTACATGCTGCTCTTTATTCCTGAGTTACTGGTTTTCCCTGAACATACTAGCTGTTTGATGCCCCTGTGAATTACACATGCTAATGTTTCCTGCCTGGGTTATTCTAGTCTACTCTTGTCCACTTGAAAAATTCTTACTCATTCTTTAGAATTAGATCTTTGCTTGGACAGGGTCACTGCTACCTTCCCAAATCCTGTCAGTGGAATAATCACTCGACTTGTTACAGACTTCCGCAGCACTGTTAGAGCGTCTAAATCGTGGAAGGAACGAGTGGAGTGGGTGACCGTTGATTGGGGGTAGTTGACTTATTTGTACCCTTGGAATGGGGTTGAGGATAAAGGCACTTCATACCAGCCTTCTCTTCGGGACGTCCTGATGTGACTTCGTTTCTCAATTTTATTCTCTTCCTTTCTCCATCTTCTGTGCTCTCTGTATTCCTTTTGTCTCCTTTCTCTTTGTGTCTGTTTTGTTCTCACAGGGATGTCTCAGATGCAGCTGGCCCACCATGGCCCTCATGGCTTAGGACACCCCCATGCTGGGCCTCCAGGCTCTGGGGGGCAGCCACCACCGCGACCACCACCTGGAATGCCTCATCCTGGACCTCCTCCAATGGGCATGCCCCCTCGAGGGCCTCCGTTCGGATCTCCCATGGGTGAGTAGGCTCTAGCCACCTCCCTCATCCTTGAGTATCAGAGTCCTACAACTCCCTTGTCACAGCCCTGTCCCCTGCCCTTTCTTTTATTCGCATTTCTGCTCATGGTCTCCCTGTCAGTGTTCTCTCTGCATTCACCCCACATCAGCACTTCCTATTTCTTGCCTTGACTGACTTTTCTTTTCCTTTGTGCAGGTCACCCAGGTCCTATGCCTCCACATGGGATGCGTGGACCTCCTCCGCTGATGCCTCCTCATGGATACACTGGGCCTCCACGACCCCCACCCTACGGCTACCAGCGGGGGCCCCTCCCTCCACCCCGGCCCACCCCCCGTCCTCCAGTTCCCCCT